AAATACAGAAGTCTAATTGGTTATTTCAGCTGTTGCTAAGGTGGCCTTTAAAGTCATTTTATAAACAAAGATTCACTTAATAATCTTTCTCTCCTCTCGAATAGGTTAGTTTTTAAGGATTTTCACTCTGTTCCAACTTATTGCGTGGTTATATGTAACTGCATACATAGCTGTGCCAAGTTGTGTTCTAAACTGCTTATCTTACTATCGATCAACACCTAATAGATGCGACAGGAATGAATAATCACTTGTTCCGGATATATGGAAACTCCTACTACCTATAACACAAAGGAAGAGCGAAGATTAGAACTATGTACACAAAGTCTCAAAGTTTTGAAGTTATCTTGATATGATTATGAACAATAAATTGTGCCGGAAACGCTATCCAATAAATAATGCGTTTTCAGTGTGTCATGCATCTAATAAGTCATCTAAAACGGAATTGCATTCTATCACAGTGTCTAAGTTTTAAGCTAATATTAATAAATTTACTCTCCATTTAAAGTAGATCATGTGGCAGTGGCTTCAGTTTGTGTGTACCAATCCAGTTAACTCATCCATAGAATTTTCTTTCTTATTCAATATTCACTATCGTTCAAAATTCAAGCTAACATACAACTTTCTACAAATGCTTTAAGTAGGCAAAGTTGTTTGTTAAATGCGTCCGCGTTTTAACTGAAGCCGGTAACTTATCATGATTTTTGCAAAGTTAAGAATTCTAACAACAAGTGTTATTTTCGAGAATGTTTGAATAATTTTGAGCATTACGGTTCATGTATCTGAGCAGTCAATTTCAAGACTATAAATTAGTGGTTCAAAACTACCTATGAAGATAACTAGTGTCACATTTGTCGCACAGCAGGTGTGGTTAACTGGTTGTTACATAAATCTTTTGCGCATAGTTGTTATGATACTTGTACATCTCCATACCTATACAGGACCGAACGGCTCGACCTTTTTTGGTAGATGGACGTCTATGCGGAAGCCTCGGTACTGCCGAATATTTATGATGTCGTTTTGATTTGGGTCACTAGAAGAGGAATCCAGGATGCGCGTTTCGTCCTAATTGAGACTGGTCAGCTGGATGTACCAGCACCCCAGTAAATGGTGTTGTTCACACTAAGGCTCTAACCCAGTACCCGTCGCCTTTAAAGTCAAAGTGTTATCCACTAAGCCACTGGCGCAGGATACCTATGGCGTCTGAAACGATGGGTACTGGGTTGGAGTCTCAGTGGGAACAACATCACTGGGTAGGGTTAAGATATGTTCAGCTGACGAGCCCCAAACAGAACAAAACGAGCGTTCTAAATATCTGTGCTAGTCATGGAAATCAACACAACTTTGCTCACAGTTAGTGAAACTGCTTTTTCCAAGATGTAAAACGTTCTAGACTTCCAGTCTGTTCATCAAAGTTATAACATACACCGTTATGTCAGTACTTCGTATCAGCCTTCTGATGATCTTGATGGTATAATTCATTTCCGTAAATACAGTATTTTCCCACTTTATTCTTTAAAATCACCTTTTTAAACTGCATAACCTTTATTACAAGAATACGAAATGAAAATTTTAGCGTGAATGTTTTCAATGAATTTCTTCACAGGCAAATTAATCGAATTTTGGTTACCTCGTGAACAAACGAGCAACGAAATGGTGATATTCAGTACTATCAATGACAACAGCTTTGATATTATTGATGCATAGTGGCTCTTAGTGGGACTCAGGACCCGCGTTTCTTCCTATTTGGAACTCGTCAGCCGGATGTACCTGCCTCTCAGTTACCGATGTTGTTCCCACCAAGACTTGAACCTGAAACTGATTCCTCCAAACACCAGAGCGTCATCCACTAGGCCTCTGAGTCATGATACCCACTTCTTGTGCAACGGATATAGTCTATATGATGTTGCCTGTATTATCCAGTCGGTGATTGTACCGAACTGATCAGTCCGTACTGTATGGATGCCTCGATATTGCCTATATTTTCAGGTTTGTTATTATTGATGGATAGTGGCTATTAGTGGTATCCAGGACGCGCTTTTCGTCCTATTTGGGTCTCCTCAACTTTAATAAGATAAATGATATACTGCGAACATAAATGAAATACACTGAAACAACTTGAATGTAAATCTGATGACAGATTCAAGGTCACAAAGAAGTTTTGCTCAACAAAAAAGAAATTTACATCTTCTAGGGTATCGTGAATACTGCTGAGTTACTTGTAACCTATTTCTGAGCGTGTGACAAACTAAACAAATTTTACTTATTTGTAGAGAAACGTAACCCTTTTTGGTCAGTAAATAAGCGTATGGGACTTAGTTTGTTTAATCAAGTGTTTGTTACGACTCTGAAACTAGTTTATGTTATATATGCTTAAACATACGTCATATTAGGCTTTATATGTACACATTGTGTTCTATTATCTCGCAAACGTTTTACTGCAATTTTTCGACTGAATACTGAGCAGCATCTGTAAAAGTTGTCTTTCTACTTCTTTAACGCACCTACGATTTAAAACATTTAAAGCCTTGTAATCATTGTGCTAAATGGTGCTCAAGGCATTTTGTAGTACAGGATTGCTACTTAATAAACTTGTGTTTCTTAACTTCCCATGAATACACTACAGTGTCGTTCTTGTCAAAACCAGAGTATTCTGAGCGCTGAACGTACTTGTCACTGGGTGCTTTTGAATATGCTTGTCGTAAGGTTTCCTATTCTCTTTCTCAGCTTCTGGATGTATTGTTCTTGAACGGCATTAGGATAAGTAAGATATAAGTAAAATGAACGATAGAATTTGGTCTGCACTGAAGATCAGATAAAACGAAGTTGGTTATCCTTCAGACACCAGTCAACTTACCTAATCCAATCCTACCGTAGGCTAACCCTGGCCTCAATAACTCAGTGATAACGTCTCTGACTGCAGCACTGGGTGACATGGCTTAAAATCCCAGGTGGGAGATCAATTCGTTCGAGGTTACAGATGCGCATTGCTGACGAGTTCCTAAAAGCATGACAGCTAGGTCCAGGGCTTCTTGCCTTTTATTTCCAACCAACTAAATTGTATAAGTATTCAGAATAATAAACTTCTACAGCCTTTACGAAGCTACAGTACATTCAAACTCCTCAGAGCTCTTGATTTTCTTTCAATTTCCATCATTAACTTGAATGTCTGAGCGAAGGAAGATAAGCAAACTCACTTATGTGTGCTGGCATAGGAAAATAAACAGAGAAAAAAAATCGAGGTTTGGAATAAAATTCGAATCAGTCGCCAAACTCCTCTTCAGCCTAGTACATTGTTGACCTGAATACTGGGTCTTTTTGCCAATAAGGTCTTAGTCTCACTTCAAAGAGTCAGGTACATCTGAAACATTCAAATGATTATTCCTACAGTACAATTCATCTTCATATTGACTGTGTGTATCATAGTCTCTTCGAGTTAGTTTATAAAAGCTTTAGATAGTTTCTGTATCTATGAAAGGCGTTGATGCAAAATGTTCAGTTCCATGTACGTTTATCAATTATAATTGTACTGATTGGTAGTATCAGCATCCAAAAAGTGTGAATTTTGTTGCGTTTAAGATTATTCGGTTGCAAATTCTTGCATCCAAGTAGGCGTTGGTTCTTTCTCTGCAGTGTTAGCCCCCTAATAATTCCATTTTAACCAGCAAAGTGTTATGCAATACGTTATAAGCCATAATAAACATCCTCTATACAAAAGAAGAGAATGTGGCATGTAATGTTTGCGATGTAAGTTTTCCAAAGATCATCCTCAAAATCAAACGACCAATAAATGAATTGAAGGAAATATTATTGACAAATAGAAATCTCAAAAAGTGCTAACCAATTGTCGGGTTTTTAGCCAGATGGGAAATCAGTTTTGATCATCTAAGTAAAGCTTTAGTAAACATCAGTCAATTACTTTTACATCAAGTATACAGGATAAGAACTGGAGTAATTTTCCCAACACGTGCATAAGAAGATTGTCACAGTCGTCTAATAAATGTAATTACTCGTTGTAATCTGATTTGAGAGTGCTTTTAAAGGCTTCAGTCAGCACTTAGTATTCCACATTGATATTGGTAGCTATCCAGTTGTTATTTCAAGGTATTCGATAAGATAAATAATCAAGTCCTAAGTGTAGTTGCTCTTACTTTAAAGTGCCAAATGTGAGATAAGAGGTCACATCGTTCTCACTAATGCAGCCAAAACGTTTGTTTTGATCGTGTCTATATCTCCTTTTAATCTTCGAAATGATACAATCATTCATTTCAGTTGTTCACATTTTTATGAAGTGCTCAGATAAACAGGTAACTGACAGTTAGCAATGGAAAATCACTAAAAGAAATTTTCTCACCACTTGTCCTAAAATAAATAAATAGCTTTTTTGAAAGGATTATGTCAACTAGGCATCACATTCAAGCTTAAAATCACAAATAAAATCTTCAGTTTATTCGGGATATTTACGACTTTTCGTAAGATGCGATACTCCAGTAAAAATATACCATAGAACAACAACACTCTACTTCACTATGCAGTTTTGATAGACACATTCGACTTCACTACAATGAACTCTGAACATGGTTTCAATCATTTAATGCATGCGAGTTGCAATCAAAACACAAAAGTAAGCCATTTAACCATCTTTCGACAAGTATACCTCTTAAAGGTTTTACAACATTCTACCGCTTAGTTGAAGGTAGTTCAAGCATGATTGAAAACTAGTTGTGATTAGGCGGTGCACTATTTTTGTGAAATAAGTATTGTATTTCGTTTCTGCGGGACATTTCAGTACAATGTATACCCATTCTAAATGTTTATTCGTTGCTACTTAAAGATTATCTTTCTTTTACATCATTTTTTAACTGAACAAACCCTTGAGTTGACTTTATTCGCAGAAGAAACCCCACTTACAATCACAGTTTCTTTCTCTAAAACTTACTGTCGTAAGCTGATATACAGTACGCGTCATTTTAAATCCCCTCTAGCAGACATACAGTAAATTTGAAGATGAATTCAAACAATTTATTGGTCATTTAACTCGTATAAAAATTGATTCATACAAACGTTATGCAGCAGTGAAACATAGAAATAAGTTTACGAAGTTGATATAGAGTTTTTAGATGCGCAGTTCAGAAATGTTTGACTTATCCAATATTTTTTTTAAACTGCTCACTGAAATGAAGAAATTTATGATGGGAAAAGTGTAGAAAGTACCCAAAGTATTATATCACTGGTTTGTAGCATTCTTATTATTGTGAATTTCATGTTGGTTAACCAGACTTGAACAACAAAATTGCTCTATCTCCGAGAAAGAAGTATATGAAAGATCGTTCCTCATGAGACACATCACTGAATTGTATTAGAAGATAAGCAAAAAAATCGATCAGTTTAGAATAAAAGATCCATTTGAAAATAGTTTTTAATACATACATTAAGTATGATGATAAGTGATTGGCCTACCTTCCAAAACGTCGACCGACAATACAGTGCCATGATCTACCGTATTTCCTATTGAATTTCGTTTTAATGAAATTAGCCACATCCATATCAGCTTCATATCGATCCATAGCACATGCTGTAATCCGTACAGCCGATTCCATCATTTCATCATCCATATCCGTGTTTTTTATGATAACTTTACTGAAATGCATCCTGAAGTTGCTCTACTTGACTGTATTAGTCTTCTTTTCAGTTTTCAATTGCTTACTGTCTAATTTATCGTATTAATGTGTTTTAATGAATTAGATCTATCCTGTGTGTTTGTGGTTATTTACTTTGATAATGATTTCAACGGTATCATATGTCTTTTTTGTTTGGCATGTGTACATGAAAGTAAAATTTAGTTTACATTGAGCTAATACACTATACGTACACACAGACACAGACACACAAATTCCACATCATACATATATAACAGTATATCCTAGCAAATAATTAGTTCTGAGATCAGGATGAGTAACTTATTTTAACATAAATTATTTAAACCGCACACTAGAAATATAACTGCGCAAATTCAAACAAAATTTTTGTTGCTTAGTATATTCAGTAGTAATATTTATGATTTGATAATGTTTAGTACTTTCAGCAAGTTAGAGTAAAACATAGTAATCAGTCATATTGAAGCATACAGATCATGGTTCATTATCACTGACTTGAAATCATTCTCATGATGCCAAAATTGATATACGTGTCAGTAAAAAGAAATTATTCAAACTAAAATAAAATTTGATTAATGTTGAATAACTTGTTCATAATTGAAAGAAAATAAGGTTCTAAAATCAATGTTCAAGATATGACTTGTTCATTTTGTTTAAAATGGTGACATTACTTTCTACATACAGTTTCTTAATCTCAGATATCACTGAACCAAATGAACCAAACATACTGAACCTGAGTGTTTCAGTGCTGCCGCTGTGCTACACTCCATTCTGTTCTACTGTTTGGGTGCAAAACATGGCCATTAAAGGTAGAAGACACGAGGAGGCTTCAGGTTTCTGACCACTGCTGCCTTCGTAGCATAGGCCTTGTTTCTTGGTGTCACCACGTAAGTAACGCATAAGTCAGATGTAGAGTTTTAGGCAGAAGAGGCAAGATAGTTGATGCGGTTGTGAACCTTCATCGACTGAAATAGCTAGAACATGTGTTATGTTTGCCGAGCCACCGTCTGCCTCATCACATAATGTTGGCCGAAGTAGTTTCAGGCTGGAAAAAGGCTCGGATTGGCCAGACTAAAACATGGCATCAATGGGTGAAGTCGTTGACTGTTCAGTTAAGCCATTTAGGGGGATGCAGATTAGCCAGAAACCGATGGCTGAAGACTAAGTGGTATAGGTCAGAACCGATATCAGTGACGCAGATGTATACACAAATTTTCCTCATCTTAACCACTATACCTAATCTTATCATCTCATTCTCTCTTCCCCTATTTTACTACTTTCTACTTCTACTTCCTTTGACTGATTTTTCTTTTCTTCTTCATCTTCCATTTTGTTGCCTTGTCATTTGATGTGCTGATATAAGATGTGGCAACATTGGAGCATTATACAGTAACTCCTGGTCTTATGTTGATCTTGATGTTGATTATGATGATCAGTGTGATGACTTAAGACTGAGGCTAATTCGCTGCATCAATCACATGAAGTTGGGTTAATTAGAGATTGGAACGAACCATCCAGTCTGAAGAGGAAAACTAACGAAAACCAAATTCAAAGTGTCGCTTTTTTATTTTTCTTAAGTTTCGAAAAACATAGTCGATAAAGAAATCTTTAAGTTAGACTGTAGTGTAACCAGTGAAACATGCCGTCCGAAGCATAATTCAAAAATCGATACTTTATAAGTTATCTAGACGCATAACTGAACATAGTCCTTTATGGAGGAGAAAATACGAAGAGCATAATATTATGTTATGAGTTTATCCACACTTTTTAATTGATTCAGTTGAAATTACCCACTGAGGTGTCAAGTAATTTTGAAAAAGAAAGCTGAAACTATGACAGCAAAGGTAAACTTGCTGAAAAAGCTAGAAGCTGTTATTGACCAAGTAAAGCAGGATAATATGTCACTCATGGGAAGAATATGAACAATGGGATGTTTTTCTCTGTCTAGGACGATAACTGAATGAACTCAAGTGATTTGTATTCATATGAAACTATTACGTCTAGCCACAAACTTTTCTTTTGATGACTAATATATGAACAATAGATCAACGCTCATTTATTGTCCCATTCAGGTGCATTCATAAATCAACAATATTTACTCACTAAAGCAAGTAAATTCTTCAGATAGAAGCAAACGCTTCAACTGCTCAATATGGTGATATACCAAAGACGTTGTAAATGAGCATATTCAACTGCTTTCCACCTAACTGGTCGATAGCACAAACGAGATATATAGAGCCTTGAAAATGAAATATAATTCGATTTAAATTTCTTTGAAGACTAGCTATTTGAAGTTCTATACCCAAGATTTGTGTGTAGAAGAAGACAGGGATCAAGTATAACACTATCATAGCAAAATAACGTCATAATCCGACCTTTTCACACCCATCTGTGTATGCTGTAAAGTTGTTGTTGTTGTAAATAAACCCGAAAATCTAATTCCCGCCCTTCACAAACCGTTTGATGATTAATCATATCTCTACAATGTAATTTGTAACGCTAACGTTATGCATCTGTTTGCAACACTTCAGCCTTCCTTTCCAGTATTGCCTGTATGTTCTGTTCAAACAAATACATATCGATTCTACATTTATTTAAGACTGGTTCTGGCTGCAATAGAAAAGTAAGTCGAATAATCCCATTGATTCAGGCAACAGATTTCTTAGTGGATGGTATTTTGACATTTGAAGCAATCGGTCACGGGTTCAAGTTTCAGTAAGAGTGCAGGCACATCCAGCTGATGAGTCCAAGATGGAATGGAACACGTGTCCTAGATCCCACTGCTAGTCACCAGCATGAGTACCATAGATGCCCACCTTTGTCCACAGCTAAACATACCTTTGAAATGGGTGACAAGGTTGATTTGTATACATCACCCGCACCTGTTTAAAAATCTGTTGGGGTCACACACTTAAGTTTATTGGAGGTCTAGCTATGTATTTAAAAACCGTTTGTTTTGTTACATTGAATCTCCCTTGCTAATTCAGCTTTAACATCAAGAGCGATTATTGTATCGTCCGAATATATCCCAAGTTCCAAATAATCAATCATTTCTTCTTCTTGTTGTGTCGAATTTTATAAAAAAGAATAATTTTTCTAAGTAAATGAAAGTCATTTCCTGTTTAAAACTCCTGTTTTGTGTACTCTGAGGTCAGCGAAGCATATAAATCACGTGAAAAGATAGATAAATTGGAAAATTAATCGAAACATTGGGAAAAAATAATAATTTCACGTTACTGTAATTCTCAAGTACTGGGAAATTTAAAATCCACACAGATGAAAACATATTAAAGTGAGTAAGTTATCAGCATGGTAGTGTAATACAGAATCAAACTATTGGAATGAAGTCAACAATGAACACACTTTGGTGAAAGCTATCACAAGTTTGAAATAACTGACTTCTGACTTTTTGGAGGACTCACTCAGGTGTCCCATACTATCGAAGAGGTTATATTTCAATAATCAGTGACTTCAAGAATTACTTTGTTTGTTCATATTCGCAATCTTTTTTACCCCCAAACTCTATTAGGGTATATTTCATTCACTGTAGACTCTGGCATGCTAAAAGTTCTTTCAATTGACTTAACTTCTTTACATGGAGTTCCTCAATTAAGCAGTTGGTTTAGGTGTTTCCGAACGAGCAAACAATGCCACAAATGTACTTGAGAGTGTGTGCGTATAATTTTTTGTATTTATGACCTTCAAAGATGACAGAGTGTCACAAAATGAACTACTAAACAGTAAATTCATCCTTTGTAGATAGTTTAATTTCTTATTTTATTGTTGATGGCTTGATATCAAAATTCAACGTGAAATTCAGTAAAAGAGTTGGAAACTATAGCCATCTATGGTCTAGAGGTTATCTGCATGTACAAAGAGTACTCATAAACGGAAAAATAGTCATGAGATTTATTTATCTAAACGTTTACAGTATTTTACGTTGGAATTTATCATGGAATGACATCAGTTGCAGGAAATATTAGAAACCTGTGAGCACTCGGCAGCTGTTTTGTCCTAGTATGGGGTTCATCAGCTGTGTGCACCCACGACCCCGAACCACCAGGGATCGAACCTGGGACCTTCAGGTTCCGTGACAAATACGTTACCATTGAGCAGCTGGTTCGGAATCCAATCGTCCACATTTCCTACTTCTGTCAGTTTAATATTCTGTTGTTTGATACTTGTAATCTCCTGTTGCTATACTATGCTGAACAGAACTACTCGAGTGATACTATCCCACTGGATACTTGATTCCAGTCTTAGTGGGAGTAATATTACTCACTGGGGTGGCATGTACATCCATATGACAAGCCCCAAATGGGATGAAACGTGCGTCCTGGATTCCAGTACTAACTACCAAGCTTTTAAAAACATTTTTTAATATATGAAATCAAACTCAGAAAAATAATTTCACTGTGATTTATTTTTTGGCTGAGAATCATTAAACCTGTAGAAATGAATAAATAAATTGTACTCTGGATTTTGACGTGATTTTCAAGCACCAAAGTTGAAGAGTATGTGTATGTGTGCGACTGGATGCATCTGTAAGATAATCGTTCATTTAATTCAACTCAATAACATGAAGAAATTGAGCGACATTTTAAAATTTTCATATTACTATTTTTGGGGTAGGATTATAGATCAATCCATTTATTATTTGAAATATGAATAATTTTTCGGTATGAAGTGAATTTGTGCGACTTAATAGTAACTGGAATTCACAATATAATTTATAACTTTGAAATATCTCCAAGTGTATATTAAAGGTGCTATAATTTAAAAAAGGCAATTTCAAGTATGTTTCGGATTTCTACACGTCAAAAATAACTACTTTAGTTTTTTTGAATTCACCAGAAGAAAGATGAAAAAAATGCTATTTGTTTTTTCGAGTGGGTAAAGAAGCAACATTACATTTCTCATATATATATATATATATATATATATATATATATATATATATATATATATATCTTCTGGGAGCCGGTTGAATCCATAGGACTTAGTATTCAATGAAGTTGATAAATTTTATTCATAAGGTAACATCCATTAGAAACGGACATGAGTTGGAGAACTATCGAGATCTGAAACCATGAAGCAGCTGTTTCGCCCCAGTATGAGGCTCCTCAACAGTTCATTTATCTATTGATTTATAAAAGGTAAACCATTGTTATTTTCTATAAAGAGATGTTCCTTTCTGTTTTGGTTGCTTTCTCACCACGAATTCATGGAAAGCTCTCCGAGAGTTGGAAGAATAGTCAGGTATGTAGAATAGTGCCTATTGGTTAAGTCTTTAACAACAGCATATTAGGCAGAATTTTTTCCAAATGCACATGAATTCCGCAGAAAATAGGGGAAACAGACTCAAATTCAGTCAGTTGAGAGCGAATTTGATTGGCGTTTCAAAGAACAACATATAGTAACTTCGTACTCATCAATAACCTGTTATTATTGCGTAGAATTAATCATACGTTACGGAAAGTGACTAACCAGTTGGAACAAAACTGGTAAGACTATGTGTTAGTGGATCCATATAGTACCGGAATCGTTTATTCATAGTTAACGCGGTGTCGAACAAGAAAAAAGTAGATTTGTTCATAATCTAGGTGAAAATTTTCCTAATGTCTATGAACTGCTCATTAATATAGTGATTATCCACAGACCATTTACTGAATAGTCTTTCACAGTAATTTCTAGCCAAGGATGATGAATAATGTGCCAACTTTTGGCTTTGAACTGTGCAAAGTATTTGTGAAGTCATTCATACCGTTGACTGAAATGTCTCATTTAAGCTGTATACCATGAAGTGAGCAAGTCATACTTAGTTTCATTGATATTCTATAAGTTTACTAGCCGTATAGAATAAAACGTTATTCCTTTGAGTAGAGAAACCAACTTAGACTGCTATCAAACGCTAGCTATATGTTCGAATCAATGGTGATGAATCAAGATACTTTAACCTATCATCGTGTTTATTGTAGCAGACACTTAGATCACATCATCTATGTACTGGATTAGTGTTTAAGAATAGACATTTTTAGAGTCTGTTCAAATGTATCATATTTGTCTATAGTGATCGATGATGTCTTGGTAATAGATCATACCAAAGCAAACTCATAATTTGCTTCTTACTAGTTATGAAATAAAATCCCGAAATTGTAAATTACATAGTGTCGAGCAGACCAGCAGTTTAAAACGCTAGGCGCACCTTGATAGGAATAACTGTACAGATGTATTGAACTCCATGAATAGTACATGTATTTGTCTTTTATGATGTGTAAGTGTGAAACATTAGATCCTTCAGTCTAAGTGCTTTATTGTAGAGAACTCCTGAGTGGGTTATATTCATATACTGTAGTCCAGCGAAAAACGTTTTGAGCGAGGATTTATATTATAAAATTAAGAGCTTTGTAATATCATTTGAAAATAAGAGGTCTAACTATCTGATAAGGTTTTAATTGGATCTAATGTAAATGATGACTTGATGCTGTGGTAACAAAGAAGAAGGAACAGTTACAGACAAGGAATGAGATCGGAAAATATTCTTTTCAGTGAAGGGGAAAGCGTATTTTTATTCAGTGGTTCGCTGTTGAGATCTAGATGGTCATTATGACTTGTACAGGTTGAAAAGTGACAATAACTCTTGCAAATATACATTATTCTAGATTCTATTAGTTGGAAAAAGAAATTGAAGGCAATCTGGTTCCCTATATTATTGATGTCTGCATACTCAGAGCTATATCCATTCCTTTCAGCATTAATAATACTTTGAATTAGTCAGTAACTACGCGTGAACGGATAAAGATGCTTGTCTGGCAACACTCAGCCGGTTCAATTCAGTTCAGAGTATTTTTTTAATCTGAGGTCCATCATACTTCGGATAAATCAAGGTCCAGTATCACTCAGTTGGTGTGTGACTTTGCGGATGGATGCTGGACCTGAGGATAAGGACATCCAGACTGACAAACTTGTCAGTCAACCATTCACAAACTGACTCTTATTATCATTGTGATTATTCAACTTATATTGTCTCCATTATCAGTGAACATATTTACCACATTTTTAACTTTAAAAAGGAAAGGTAGACAAGATTAATACCCAATAACAATTCAGTGTTGCATTTAGTGCATTACTGTATTATTTGGTCTCATATGAAAAGTCTAGGTCGTACGAAGTGATAAAAAAACAGTCCCGCTAGAATACTAAGGGGTCATTTGTCATTCAGATTTTGGATGGCGCTAAACTCCGTTCAGTACTTCTCTTTTTATGAGTGTAGTAGTAGAGATTGGACACTTGAGTAGTAAATAATTCCATATTGTTCCATCTGTTGAATATTTTCCACAGTGAAACATTATTATTCACAGTATTCTGTACTGTTCTTTTTCTCACAATATAAGGCAATGTTAAGAGTTTTGAACCTAAAGTTCAGTCAGTACTCAAGACTAGGCAACGTGAAATTGGTTGCTCTCAACTCACCAACCAATACATTTAACAGGAGATCGGTCGCAGCTGGAATAGCTCAGTAGTAACCTCACTGACTACAACAGTGTGTAACGCGGGTTCGACTCTTTAAGTAGGACATCATTTCTGTAGACCTTACAGATACTCCTTGCTAACGTGTGCTAACGAACAAAAAACCCAAGTGTAGCAAGACTTCCTGCCCGTTTACCTCCAACCAACTGTCATTCTAAATGGTGCCAGTCATTAAGATAGGCACACAGTCTAAGTTAATGGGCGGGCAGAATTGTTCTTAACCTTGAAAAGCTTTAGTTGACTCTTTTCTTCCCCGCTACTGCATTCACAGAATTATTTTCTCATTGAAAACAGAGCTCTTTTAGTAAGAATCTACTTAATACTCAATAGACTTCATCGTAATCATTTATTCTAGCTATGTCTTAGATCTTATACGGTAAAAATTTATGATTACTCTTCCTGTCCTTGTGAATTTAGCCTTATGTGACAGAAATCCTATCGAGAAAACACTATACACAGACATAACCTCAAGATAGGTAACGCTCAAAAGCATATTGAATATAATACACACTTTGGAGTCATCACCAAAGAAGATGAATATCTTGTTACTCGGTAATGTAACTGACTCAGGGAATGAAATTCATCAACCTTATTAGACGTGAAGCTTTGAAAAATTCAAATTTTTCACGGAATACATGACAAGTGATAAAGTCTTTGGTTTCAGAAGTAGTAACTGTTAGAAGAAGTAATCATTAACGGATACTCTCCGACTGGTTAGAAATGTGATTATTTACTAAAAACACTTATACACACAACAGCAAGAAATGGATTGCGTACCATATTCACCTTATACTTTTCCTTGAACAAAAAAACATGAAATTTACCTGCCATATTGTTTACCAACTATACAATGCCAAGTACGTCCATATTTTCGGTCGAAATGTTGTTTAACATAAGTAGCAATGTCTTTGTCAACTTCATACTTTTCTCTGGCTGCAGCAGCTATTTGTACAGCATCTTCTTGCATTATCTGGTCCATATCGGCATTTTTGACTACAGCTTTACCAACAGCCATTTTGTTGAGAGAATTAGATTGATTCACTGTGTTTAAATTTGACGGAAAAAAAGGTTGAGTAGTATATAATTTCTGTGAATTTTTGATGAGATAACTTTTTTATATGAATGGTTTATCCTTTTACAGTAAAATATTTTACACACATACGCACACAGGTACTTACCCACGCTTTCATTGACGTTTGCAGAGTTACATGCAAACAAGCACATACGCCTACATATAACTCCACTTGTGTAATTGGATCATTTTTAGAATGGGACACACTGTATTCACAAAAGTGTGTTAACTGACTAGGCTCTCATAGCATGTTGATAAAACGATTAGTTGATATGACTATCGATATTTTCAAGATCTTATTCTTTGTGTGTGTTTCCATCTTTTTAAGTACCAAATATCATGTGAATACCTCATACACATACACTTTTATGCCTATAAAAACGTTAACAAAAATTGTTATAAGAACTTAGGGTTCATATTTTCATGTGAAGTATTTTCACAATAATACCTTTTTGAGAGAAGCAAGTATTAAAGGACGCATAGAACTGTGTACACATGAACTTTATATAATCCATCGTAAAATGAACAACTTTGAACTCTTTTAGAAAGCCTATCAATAGATATGTGAATTAACAAACACTCGGTACTGAGTTACGATCCGAATGATGCAAGTGTATTCATACCTCATCTCATCTATGTAAATGATTCATTCTCTCCTGCCATTGTTTGCTGATGATGTAACAGTATGAATGATTATTCGTAATGATAGAGAATAGTAAGCGGTACAAATGGATTCAAAAGAACAAGTTGGTTTTTTGTTAAAAAAACTTTTGCTGGGAAATTAATTCTAGTAAATGTGTAATTGTGCATATTGATCATACCAATTGTCATCAGAACATGAAAAGTGGAATGCCAGTATCTGACATCTAAGAAATGAAGATTGAACAGTCAGGTGATCAGTATCAACATGGTACTTAGCAACACTCTATAGCGATTCAAGTTGCTACACTATATATCAGTATATTAAACAAGAAAGCACTAGGACGTAAGACAGAGAAATAAGTAAGAAAGTAGTCAGAAGTAGGAAAACGTCGTGAAAAAAGAACAAAGAAGAATAAGATAGTAGTGAATTCCAGCATGACGATTCACATAGAGATAGTCTGAGGGTAGATAGGCACCCCTGACGTCGATTCTTAGCCATCTCGCCTAGATTCTCTAGTCACCGATATTGTTTGTAGCGTGAACTGCAACCTGGAAGTCCATGTTTGCCTGTACGGATCAGAGCAATAGTCGAAGACTTCATGTACTCATGTCACGCTTTAGTCCAGTCGCCTCCAGAGTCTTCCAGTACGATCCTACTTCAGTCAACATTCTTGAAAAGGCAAAAATAGCTGAACACCTAAAGCCTCATCATATCTTCTACTTTTTTAAAAAAATACATAGGAGGGAACAGGAAATCATATCTCAGAACACTTGCTGCTCAGTAGGGACTCGGATATCATAATGGCGCTAGAAACGGGGTAAGTTAATGAGGGCTAAATGGATCTTTAGTGTACGTGAAGAGATTTCACTTGTCATCAAAACACTAAAGCTGATCCGACTTCCCAAGTGAGTAGTGGTGAATGCACTCAACCAAATAACTACCTAATATTAGACAAGGCCCCAAAGAAGACCACTTCTGGAGAAACACCTTGGAATTGGGTAGGGAGAAACGTTTCCCAAAAAATTCCAGGTGTTGAGATGACTCTACATCTTGTCAGTATCTTTCACCTCTGTTATCTGAATATATGAAATCTGATAAAAAGTCTCTTGTGACAAGGTCAATATCAGTAAAGTTAGACGAGAAGAGAAAGACCGATATGAGGGCTTCTGCAAAAAAATGGAATGAGAATCAAGAGAATGAACATCCTTGACAAACACCACTCGGTGTGCAAAACTCAACTGACACCATACCATAGGCTTCAACACGCTTACGTGTGTTCGAGTAAAGGACAATAAGCGGGGTATCGTGCTTACCTGATATTTCTTCCAGTGAAAGAAAATGCCATAAAACAGCTTCATCGACAGAGTCAAATGTTTCTGTCAGTGTATTCGATCCAGTTTTACAGAAAATCAATTGCGGCACGTAAAACTCTGTGTTAATGGCTCTGACTATGGAATTGGACGTAGCAGGTTTGGATCTCTCGGGGGACATAATTTCTCTAGAGGTTGCAGATACTTCTTTTTAGCGACTCGTTACTTGTCAAATGCTTCCAACCAACTAACATCAGTTAAAGCGTACAGCAGTGATGAGATTCCTAGTTTGTTGGCAGCACTGCATAATGATCACTAGAACTCAATCAGCACCCAGGACTAGATAACCTGGAATTGGTTACTCATCAGTAAACAATCGATATCAATACTACGTGCCTGAGGTGTCATCAGGTGAAATTTACGGTAGTCAACATTTTTTTCTACATCCATAAGTTCGTATAAGAATATAGGTTATTATGATAATTTGCTTGGTTGTGGCGACCAGAAGAATCCAGGACGCGCGTGTCGTTCTATTTGGGACACGAGGTCGAACGATTCCATCCAGCAAAACAACGGGTGATAAAAGGTATATCCATAAATAGCAATAATTACTACCTGTTGTACAAGAAGTGGCTATCGTTCCTGCGTGGCATAGTGGATAGCGCCTTGGCGTTTGAAGCGAACGGGTATGGGGTTCGATTCCCAGTGGGAACAACATTCAATGGGGTGCAGGTACATCCAGCTGACGAGTCCCGAATAGGAAGGGACGCGCGTCCTGAATTCTTCTACTAGCTGCAACTAACCAAGTTATCGTGATTAACATTCAGGCAATATCGAGGCGTCCGAATAGAAGCCCATTTGCCAATAGAGGTCAAACAGTCGATCCAGTAAGAAGACGGAGAATTACAAATATATCAATAAACAGTTGTAAGTTACTGGGATGCTTTTTATCTGGATGTTTTTTTGGCCGTTGTAAATGATCTACAGGGATCAACTTCACGCCCATATTTCTCAAGAAGAGATTTGTGTCGCATCTTAAATTCTTTCTCTCTGTATACTGTAGTCACTTATATATGTATGTATACCACCTATGGCATATATTCGTGAAGTTATCCAGACATCTTATTATTATAAAGTGTACTAAGTTGTTTATATTTATTGGTATTTCCAGTCACTGGAGTCAAAAGGTAGGAAACGTTGCTAAATTCAAGTTTTCTGCCAGACCACATTCGTTGTTAGACGTATTTCAGAGAGTAAAAGGTACTTGATCTTCTCCCCTTACTAAAACATTTTTTTACAAAAGTGTCGAGAAGTGACTATAGCGGGAAAATATAAATACTTAAATCTAATTTGAATATTTTATATCTGTTCTGATTTAGCTTTGAACAAATAGTCATTATACAGCATTTCTATGTAAAAGTAATTTTAAACTTCCTTTCGATAGGTCTATCACCGCTACAACTTTAAAAAATAGTAAGTTTACGATGGCTTATTACTAAGTTTGTCATTAGCGAAAGTTAACTGAGGGGAGAAAATTTTTTTGTTGAGTCCTCTTCGTCCATTTGCACCCGGAAAAACATATATTCGACTATTTGCATGTATCTTTACTCCCGATTCAAGTGAAGGTCTTATTCTTTGGTTCGAAATTCTGTGAAACGATATCTAAAGTTCATAAGTTTAACACAAAATTCTAGTTTGAGAATCTAAATAATCAAATGGGTGACCTAGCTACAACCTTATCTATGGTCTTGGTCATTTTAAAGAGACTGTTTTAAATTACTGTATGGCTTTTACTGATAGAAAATCCAATAGTCAAGACTTTCTATCGGAGGAACATCTAAATCGGTAAAGGAATCGACATGAAAGTGAAAACCTAGTTATGACACATTTTGACAGATATGTTGGAATAGGACTGTTGAATGAATAAGGTTATAAAGAAAAGCTTTCACTCGTGATATGTAGTGAGAACAAATTTTCAAAACAGACAACCTCAAAAGGCGCTAGTGAATAGTCAGATCCTAGGTTTTCAAGGTATTGAAGAATATGAAAGCTGAAGTGCTGATAAGTCCTGGACTGTACGAACAACTTCACCCATTCGATTGTTTAATCCCTCTTGTGATGTGGTCCTTTCCTCTCTGTTCGTTAGTAAATATGTCTAGTTCTCCTTACTATTCAATCGTTAAGTGGATTGTTAAGATACCTCAAGCCATGAAGAAAGAAATTTTGAAACAGCCTGTGTTACAAATTTCAGTTTGTTGATTTAATTAGGGGTGTCAATTTATCAATGAAGAGGATTCAGTCCCCTTGTTTAAAAATTTTCAGCTAACGGAAACCATTTGTTCTCTGTGTGATTTTATTGAGTCACAAAGCATAAACATGGGTATTCTGGATTGTGACTTTATGGAGCTTTCACAGCGCACTTCAGAGCTAACAACCATTTTACAGATAGATGGATGGCACGATAAAAGGCCCACCTCTAGAACCTTTCTTAGTTGGTTAATTTATAGTACACCTAGGAAACATGACCTTATCAACAATAAGCAGTAGGCTTCACATCTATTGAAGGGGTAAACAGATGATGCCTTTCTTATTTATGGTGTGAGTACCGGACTTCATAACATGTCTCAAACTTTCAGAAGTGCTGTTTTCCGTATCACTTCTTTGATGTCTAAAGAAAGGATGGCAATACAGTCTAGAGATCTATTTACAGAACTTTACTTAGAACAGATATCTTATGAACTTACAAAGTTGTCCCGTTTAAGAAGAAAAAAGAATTTTATCAATTCACTTTCTCTTCAAGAATAAGAAAATATCATTAGTTATGAACTAAAAAACCTGCGAGCAATCCTGATGGAAAATAAAAACCCACTAAAATTTATATATAAGAACCCAAAACCGAAGGATGCTATGAAACGCATGGACATTGATCCAAAAATGACTTGACTACTGAACATTGAGTTCAGGGGTTACAGTTCAGAAAATATTCCTAGTTTGCAACCATCGGCTTCAAAAAAGA